GAATAGTGTTATGATTACCATCTTGGACAACTGCCAATAGTAAAACTTGCTTATATTTTCTATACAAGAATGTCTTGTCGATTTGGACCACGAGCTTGCAGTATTTCACAACATCAATGCACTGTGGGTAAGTTCAAAAAAACCGTTAGAATTGGGATCGATCGTGAAACACTCGATCATTGTGGTATGTAGGCCTGTAAATGAACTGAACGTTCAGCAAACTGTTCATGAACCGTGCGGCGGGAAGTTCGTTTATGTGTGTTTATTTATTAAATGAACGGACATGAACAAGATTTTGTGTTCGTTTAATTAAATGAACGAACACGAACATAGGTCTCGTTCGTTCATTTACGTTCGTGAACGTTCGGTTATGTTCATTTATGTTCGTTCGGTTATGTTCGTTTATGTTCGTTCATTTATGTTTAACCTAATCTTCTTAAATCAATTTTGGTGACCAATTTGTAAGTGTCTTAAAAATATTAATTAATATGATATTATGATGACCAACTCCATAATTAACCCAATTTTATTTGGAGATTAAATCCAATATGTTAACCCGTGAGGCACCTCGCACATATATTCATTTTCTCTTTTTTCCCAAACCCAAGTGTTCACTGGAGAGTGGAGATGATCGGTGAAAACTTCAAAACAAGTTATATTATAGTGCAATCTGAAGTTTTACAGGTATGTTTTCATCTCTTTCTCTGTTTTATTTAGCTTAATAGTTTATATGCAAAGTTATTGCAGGTATCTTCACATCTAAAACTCAAGAAAACATCATACTTCTTTCTAGAAATAGATGGGAAGATAAAGGTAACAATAGGAAGTATATGAGCATCAGTAAAGAGAAAAATATATAGAATTTTCTAGAAAACAAAACAAAGGTTTCTATGCAATTTCTGAAAAAGAGTGTAATAACGGAAGTAATGGGTTTTCCAGGAAGAACCCATTAATAAGTAGAAAATACACTTTGACAATGAACTTTTGTTTTCATAGTTCTTGTGTGACCTATAGTTGTGAAGTAGACTTTAGGTACGTTAAAATTTTGAATGGTGGTTTAGCAATAATATCAGTTACAATATGTAGCATCGGAGGGATTTCGGATCTATGTTATTGCCTTGTAGTCCAATTTGTACCATTCAAAATCTTCATGCTGTTAAATTTTCTACTCTGCCAATAGAAATGACCATTATTAACAAATCTCACTAAAGTCTGACATTGATGTCACAAAACTTTTAGCCGGCGAATTTATTAAAATAACGTAGTGGAAAATGATTGTTCATATGTAATCATGGACCACTAAGATAAATGTTATAACGTTAAATTAAAGTCATGTGAATCATTTAATATATTTAAAAGATCGATCAAAATATCTGATATCTTCAAACATTTCATTACTGCTAATCAACTCTTATGCTATTTATCACTGTATATTTGGTTGATTTGCATTGTCGACTATTTTTCATGAAAGAACAATGGAAGGTAAGGTCTCCAACGTTTATGTTCGTGTTCGTTTATGTTCATGTTCATTTATGTTCGTTTATTTATTAAATGTACTAACATGAACAAGCTATATTCCTTAATGAACGAACATGAACAAAAAATTTATTGTTCGTTTATGTTCGTGTTCGTTTATGTTCGTTTATTTATTAAATGAATGAACATGAACATACCTCCGTTCGTGTGCGTTCGGTTCGTTTACAAGCCTAGTGGTATGCATGACAAGTTTCGAAGTCGATAATTGTCCTAAGATTAAATATGCGCACTACCCTAAACCAACTTGGTAGTTTGTTGTAAGATGCATCCCATTCACTTTGAAATTTTTCAATGGCATTCTGTTTGCATTCAATACTTTCTTGTATGAGACGGTATACCCATACTATGATTATTATATAACTTAAATTAGCACGGAATAGCTATATGTGAGCTTTATTTTACCATTGGCATGATGGTTTGGTAGATAATGTCAGAGTCCAAGTTAGGATGATCCTGGTTGATCCCTTCAGCACAACATGTGGAGGACCGTTGTATACCGTTACTTCCCATATATTTTTTTCCTTTTCTTATTCTATACGTGAACCATCCAATTGCATCCGTTATCACGTTGGACACAGTGGCATACATACTTTTTTGGTAATTCTTAATTTCCATCATTGCTTCTTATTTGCATAGAAACTCTATTCCTTTATATAACTCACCATCATTGACTGATTCGTTAAATCTGTAGTCACTAAAATTAGGCATATCCGCAAATTCTGACCCGTACATTGCATCATATTCAACTTCATACATGTGTGTTGGAGGTTCGGTGTATACTGTATTTGTGTACCGTATTGAAAAAAATATATCGAGGTATGATCACGCTTTCTAATTTTACAACTACAAAAAATAATACAAAATAATTAATACAATAAATTTTTTCAAAAGATCATATATAAAATAAATATAGTATAATAAAAAAATAGTTTTGCCTTACAACAAAAATAGAAGGAATTAATAAAGTAAAAATAAGCAAGTAATTTTGATGTGGTGGTGTTTGCATAGAGGGATTTTTATTTATAGGAGAGGAGGAGGGTTTAAAGGCCGAGTTGTTCGAGTGGTACAAAATAATAGAAGGATGAGATCATTATGCACGCGCCTTAGTACGCATGTCAGAAACTCCTAGAAGGCACAGATGGCGATCTGCATCTGTCTTGATGTGGCGCCAGCTCGAATAAGGCACGGATCGCACGTGACGTCAGATCAGACATAATACATCCGTATTTTGTCAGAAAGAGTACTAGATCAATAATATTAGAAGAAAATATATATAACAAATAATTATTATATGAGTGATATTTCGATAAAATCCCCGGTGCAGAAGCTAGGGAAAATTACCAAACAAGCAGTGGGCTCTTTTTACTTTGAAAAAGCATATACAATTATTATGGTGTCATCCTTTACAAGGACAAGCCAGTGAGCCACTGACAATGTTCCTTAGGGTCAAAAGATTAGATTCCTTTGTAGTTCAATATACATGGCATCTATGGTGGAAGCTAGGCCAGCCATTTATAAACCAACTGCTACAGCAGCAGTAAGGAGAGAGACCCATCAATGAATGGTTTGTAGAGGCAACAGACAGCCGTAACGATATATCTTGGGTAATACCCATACCATCCGGAAAGTATAAGGACAAGCAACATAATTTAAGACTAAAATATTATGGTTTTTATCACATTTTTTTGTTATGATTATTTCTGTTATTTTTTTAATTTTAAATTAGGTAAACGTACCGTAAGACTTCTCCCATAACATCAACTTCATCTAATTGTAATATTTTCTCTGATCCATAACTATATTTTTCTACATAGACTCTTGTTTAGAAATGACTTCAACAAATATAAGATTTTATGTTAGGAGTTAAGAACTCATCAAGTGATCTTAATGGTAAAAGAAAATGTTATTCTTCCTAGAGGTTTTTGATCCGAGTAACCACGTCTATATGTTTGTGTTGTCAATTGATTAAGAAATTTTTGAAATATATACTACGGTGTAATCACCATAAATTATTTAAAAAAATGAGTGTGAAACTATAAAATCTTAGAGATGTAAAATTAGATTATCAATAAAAATATAAAAAATGTCTAAACTATATGGAGATTTGAATTTCAGGGATATGACGGCGCCCCTAATACTCCTTGATCCATTCCTAATGACAGCCTCTCTCCACCTTACTTTTCTTTTATGCACTCACACTTTTGTGGCTTTTACTTGCAGTACTGCATAGATGTGTATAGGATGATCTTAAATTTGCATGGAGAATTGTGTCGAACTTGTTACTAGGTGAATGCAAACTCCAAATGATCAGTTTCAAGCTCATGGTTGATGCTTAAAGTAAATGTGCATTTACGCTGGTTAGGGAGGGGTGATCTTATCCCGTTATTTTTTAAATAATCTAGAATAATTTTAAGATAATATATATTTAAAATCTTTCTTAACTATTAACAATATACACATTCATAAACATAACTACTTAAACTAAAGATTTTAAATTTTTAGAAAGAATAATACTCCTTTATCCCACCATCTTGTATATGAACAAAAAGGAAGTACATAATGACAAAGCATAGTGGACGAAGTTGGAAGAGACTGCAGGGGCAATTAATGGATCGTAAACAAGATTCTGACGCCCAAATCTCTGAACCACCCTATCCAAAGACAGTGTTGTTGGATTTAGGATTAAAAGATCAATAATCGATGACTTTGATGAACTCATATATAATTTAATATATTAAATTAGTTTTGTGAAACTGTTGGATGGTTGGTTTAGTGAGACTGTAATGTATATGAAACTGTCTAGTTTTGTTAAATTTCACTTGAGTTCGTTGGATTTTTCACGCCTCAAAATTGGAGTTAATATTTTAGTTTTGACAATTCATAATTTATATTAGTTTTAATTTTAAATTTGAGATTTAATTGAATTAGTGTGAACTTTTAAAGATATTTTCTGAAAATCTCATGAAATTTGAGGATTTGTCTCGTCATTTTACCGGTTTAATCCTACTAAACTGCATCTTTTGTTTCGTCAGCTTTAGAATTCAATTTTCAAATATCTTTCTATTTTATCTCAAAGTATTTTTATTATTTTATAAACATATATATGGTCCATCATTTTTAGGTAGTTATGTTGGACGACATGACTAATTTAAGGTTTATAAATGGTGATTTTGGGATGTAATCGAAATGGTAATAAAAATCATAACATTTTAAGTTGAATGTAACCTAAAATGTTACATTTTTACTAATATTTTCGGATGAACTTTAAATGTAAAGATTGTAACATGCGCATGGAAACAATCCAAATGATGAATTTATAAAGTTTAATGTTATAGATCTATTATGTAACACTTCATAATTCAAGAGTCGAAACCGAAATGTTAGAATCATGTTTATTTTTAAAAAGTGAAATAATTTGAAGACTCGTTTAATATTATATTCGCAACACATATACATCATGATGCATGGAAAGGGAAACATGGGAATGACGTTTTTACATGAGACAGCAGGCATTGACATTGTCATCGTTGAACATGTTGCTGACCTTGTCGTCTCCACGATGCGTCACTGGGACGTAGCCATGCCTATGTTCATGGTTGTAGCCGTGCCTGTAATAGTTGTAGCTCTGTCTGAACTCGTTTGTGGTGTCTTTGAAGTATTCGGTGGCGGAGGTGAAGTACAAAGGAGGATCCGGGTAGGGCCAGAATTCAGCCATCTTCCCAGCTCTTCTCACTTGTTTCAGCACCTTGTTCCGATCAACGTACCCGATCACCGTCACTTTTTCCAGTTCTAGGTTCACTTCCACCGAATCAATCCCTAACACGATATTATCAACCATTCCAATGATATTAATATATGAAACAGTGAGGGGACAAGGAATCAATAGACCAAGTATTGGGTTTAATTTGTCATAAGGTTAAAATTAATCTCAACTTTTATTAAAATGGTAACTTGTAAGTCTTTAACCCCTATTCATTTTAAAGTATCTTAACCCTCAAACCTTTTAATCTTTGATCAAAATGGTCCATATTAGATGGAAACCGTTAGTTAATTAACAATCACATGTGTTGTATTACTTACATGTCGCATACCACATCATCATTTTGGGTGATATATCACTAATAATATACATGTAAACATATCAAGTCAGTAATATACGTTGACTGTTAATCAATTAATAGTTTTCATCCAATAAAGATTATTTTAACAAAAAATTAAAAAGTTGAGGACTAAAATGCAAAGAGAGTTGTACAAGAATATACCCCTGAGCTTGTAAATGGCATTTTTGACGACTCTCGCGCAACCAGTGCAGCACATTCTAACTTTGAGGTCCACAGTCTGCAAAGAGAGATCAATGTTGGAAAGATAGATGCTAATTTATCACACAAAACGAACTTTGAGGGAGGAGAGTTAAAACCTGCAAAGAAAGTGGTCGACCCTTAGGCATATTGCTGACGTTTTTCTTCTTGTCTCTGTAGCGAAAGAAACAGTAGGCGATGAGCGATAATAAAGAGCCAAATGGTTTAGTTATTAAGGTAGCCATCTGCTCAAGTTTTTATAAAGAAGATGACCCCCAGGAGATATTCCACTAGTGCCTTTGCATAGGCATCAATTCCCTTGAGCTACTAAATCCTAATCTCTTTGGTAATATATTCCTAAGTAATCCGATACTACTTAAAAGATGAACCATTTCTTGCCTTGTTTATATCCATTGGACATGGCTGCAAGCAAAAAACAAACAAACTATATAAGTAAACCCTTTTTTAGGGAATAGTATCTACATTTACTAAGAATTTGTAAACAAAAAAATAATTAAAATTAATGAGATCAACGCAAAAATAATAGACATATAAAAGACAATTTAATGTGATTCAGTTTTGTCTATTTCCATCGATGATAAGAAAAATAATTACTACAAACGTAGAGATCACAAAGGATAAAATACATGATTTCTCATATATTATAAAATCAATATTTTATATAAAAACTGGAGTATTCAAAATCACTTTTAATATCTTGAAGCATTATTGGATTTTTTTTGACTCAACAATGAGTGATTTTTATTAAAAAAAAATATGATCAAACAATATTACTTTGTGTCATTAAAAAAATCCCTCCAATTAGAAGAAAAAGGGAGCATATAATGGTAATCAAGATTATGGGCGGGTCGGGTGCGGATACCCCTTCCCCTATCCCCATACTTACCTAATATTTTCAAATCCACCATCCGCCCATCACCCATGAAGGGTAATTTTTTTCAAATTTACACCCACCCACGCGAATACATTCTCAAATCCATCCTCATACCCACTACCTAACTGGAGACATACCCGACTAGACCCGCCTGACAACAACCTTAAGTTATACATAAGCAACAAACATAAAATAAATACGTCCATTAAGAAGCATAATAAAATAAACTAAGGATTATCTGAGTTAAGTGTTAACATAGATCTTAAAGTACATAAAACACCATATTAAAAGACATAATTAAAGCCTAGAAACATAAATGACAAACACATAATATTTTTGTTCTTTTACACAACATTGTCAAATTTAAGACAATACTTGTGACATCTGTTACTCCAGTATTACAATCATCATTCTCTATTTCCTCTAATTGAGAGTGCTCCAATTTAAATTCATTACTACCTACATATATAAATAGAAGGCAAAACTAATATAAGTTAGTTGCTAAACTTTAAGATAATTAAGCACAATTTGACAACTAACATAGACTAAATAATAATATTACCTTTAATATCGGCCCAATGTTAATATAAGTTAGTAACTAAACATTAATAAGATAATTAAGCACAATTTAACAATATTAAGATTTATAAATTAGTTTATAAAATTATATCTAAATTTATAATGGTCCAAAATTTAATGGGTATTTAGTGGGTGGGAGGATGTGGGCGGGCGGATGCGGGGCGGGCTGATGTGGGGTGGGTAAGGTCTCAAACCCATCACCTGACCACTACCTGCGATGGGTACTATTTTTTAAATCCACACCCACCCACTACAGACTAAAGTTATATCCATCCCCGCTCCAATTGGAGTGAGTACGGTGCGGAATCCACGAAATTGTACCCGTTTGTCATTCCTAGTTACAGGAGAAACGCTTACATACACATATTCTCACAAACAACAAAACACATTATAAAATTCTTAACACCCTAGAAAGAAAAACAACCTTACAAAAGAACATAAATCTGAACACGCCAAACTACTTACAGACACCCTTCGAAAATCATCCCACCAAATATTTAGAGCGCAAACAATCATCTAACTTAGGATGTAATTTCCAACATTTTGAACAAGATCGCCTTCCAACATCTTCAACAGATTTGCAACCTTTGAAAACTTGTCAAACTTCACTTCAATCCATCGATACACTACATGCATCTAATTCAGCTATTTCTGTGTTCACTAATTCATCAGAACCTACACTTTCATCACCTCCATTGACGAAGCCAAAAGCATCAATCACTCTTGATTCGTTAAATGTCATCCAATACTTTACTACACCGTCGGATGTCTCGAAACAAAACTCAATCTACAACAAAGACAACCTTTTCAATGACCTGATTTAAATTGATTGGAGAAAGTAGGAACTTTAGTTTGATTTAAAGTAGGAAACTTATTTATATTATGTTGATTCATGGTAGGAAATTTTGTTTACATAGATTTCTTTCCATGCAAGTAATTATCTCTATAAATATAAACTAAAAAATAAGGTTAAATAAGAAGTTGTTCATGAGCACTCGTCAAGTATTCTTCTATTTCGACATTAGTTAAAATCTCTTCTTTTACTCGTAGTTTTTTTAAAAAAGGATTTTTAACATAAAATCTTGATATTTATTTTATTAGATGATCATTACGTTTGACGTTATCTTTTAATAAGATTCTCCAAATGCGGGTCAAGCATAACATGACTGGTGACACATTCACAAGGGAATATCAGCTGATTTGGGATTATGGATTGGCTTAAGGAAAGATGGAATTTTATGCGAAGGAACATATACTCCTAGTATCTTTGTGTTTCCACCATCTTTTGAGAAACACAAAGCAACAATGTTTATTAAAAGGCCTAAGCAAACTTTTACTCGCACATTGTTTTCCATCTATGGATAGTTACGAAAATGGCAGCTGGGGATTTTAATAAGAAGCAGGGGACACAGAGAACAAACGCACTGCAAATGCAATCCATTCAAGGTGATTGCTATTCTTCCAGCAATTACAGCCAACCACCGATCTGCAGAAGCATAAATGTTCAGAAACGATAATAGACACTGTTTGTCGTTTTCCTCAGTTTACCTACTTATTCCATCCCATATTTTCCTTAAGACTTGGCTATGGTTTCTCGACTATACAAGACAAACTTAAAATTTTATGAATTTTTAAAAATTTTAAAATATTAATGGCAATTTTAATAACATTTAACGTTTAATATTAAATTTTAAATATACAAAATTCGAGAGATGAATTTACTCGTATAAATCAAAATAAAGTATAGTGGGATGTTTTTTAAAATACGGTAAATTACACATTTAGTACACCCATTATCACTTTTAATCTAGTTTAATCATCAAACTATTTTTATTTTGAAATCATATTTAATGTTATGTTTTAATTTTATTTTGGTCACTTAAAATTGAAAAATTACAACTGGTAGTCTGATATTGATATGCCATCCTAATGTAATGTCACATCATCATTGATTTTTTAAGCAAATTAGTAGTTTTTTTTAACGATGAATGATCAAAATAAAACTAAAATATAGTGTTATGCAATTTTTTTTTTAAAAAGTAATAGTTAAATTATCAAAACATAACAAAAATGATAATTGAGATGCTAAATATGTAATTTATCCTTTAAAATAAGGTTAAAGTGCACAAATAATCCATCGACTATAAGACACTATTTTATAAAGTCTCCCGATTATTAAAAGTTTCAAAATAGTCACCCAACTATTCGTATGTTCCAAACTCATTTTTTTCGTTAAAATATTGATGACAGTCTTAGTTAGACATTAACATGTTGATTGAGATATTACAGTCATTTGAAACGTGTGGATCGAATTTTAGCATTTTACACTCAGCAGGTTAATAACCAACTGAGGCTGCCGTCAATTTTTTAACATAAAATAATAAGCTTAAAATATATAAATAATCGACTGACAACTTTATAACTTTTAATAGTCAGAGTACTCAACAAAACAATACTCTATCATTTTATAACTTTTTATAATTTAAAAATTTAACAAAATAATATCTTATAATCAACACATCATTTATGTATTTTACTCTTAAAATAATTAATGAATTCTATTCCAAAATATAGTATTCTTGAATCCTTAGAAGGCCAGCTTCAACTGCCAAATATTAAATAGTACAATCGTATAATGTGAAAGGAAGACTGCATCATTCGATGTTATCAAGATCACTCCATTGATGTGACATAAAGGATAAAGTCTATTCTTATCCAAATAATGGCACTAACAGTGAATAAACGGTTAAATTAGGAAAATAATATAGAAAGTAAAATTTAAAAATAGATAACTAGGAATATATTTGAAAATATAATATTTTACATTGATTATTAAAATTATCTTTAAATATTAATGATTTTAATAAAATTATTCTATTATGGGATAAATTGAAGAAGTATATTTGAATGTTCAAATCGTGGATAATTCATTGATATTATTAGGACAATTTTAGTTTCTATTGGTGCCTCGATATCTTATATATTTTAAATTTATTCTTAATTTTATTTCGAGATTTTTTATGTGGTGCTTCGATATCTTTTTAATAATTTAAGATAATTATATAATAATATCTATTTAAAATTTTCTTAATCATATTGTATTTGATTAAATTTGTTCCCATCTATTTTACTTGGTGCATGTTTATGATCTCAATCCAAATTCGAATGAATTGTTTCCGAAATTCGATACCAAAGAAGACGTCGATGAACAAAGATACATGGCAATACACTTTCGAATAAAAGATTTGTTACACATACAAAATGTAGGTGTTTTTCCCGATATATCACATATACCCTATATATTTCCCTGTCAGACACTATTCAGATTATTTTTCCCGATCTAACACCTTTTGCAGTAAGGCACCCCCCTGCAGTGCGCTTTACGGTGATCTGGCGCCACGTGGGGTAAGGTGCCCCCTGCAGCGCGCCTTATGCTGACATGGACACACGTGTCTAAAGCGTGACCCCTGGGGCGCACCTTATGCCACGTAGGGCTATAGCGCGGGACATGGGACACGCTTTTCAATTATCACATGCTCAATTATCAGACATGCATAATGCAAGGTGCGGTGCAGGGACCGCGCCTTGCATAATTTACCTGAACTTCTCGGCTTTAAAGCATCATCTCTCGGCTATAAATAGCTCTCTCCCCGTAAACTCTCTCACAATTCCCTCTCAACCGAGAAATTAATACAACAATCCTTTCAACCAGTAAATAACACCCGTCAATCCTCTTATATTTAATTCAAAAGTTCGTTCGATCTTTCGTTA